TGGCTGCTGAAAGCTGAGATACCCAACCGACAACCAAATAACCTGCTGAAGCAGAGCCAATGAGTCAATGTGCAGCTGACTGCAGAAACATAAATGAAAGAACTACCTCTCTGAAGATTCCAAAGTAAGAAAAAGCTGAACTCTAGAGAAAGTGATGAGAATACAAATAACAAGCAGAGTGGAAAAAATTTAGCTGCTAATATAGGCAAGAGTTCAATTATGTATATCCTCATAGGCCATGCTTATTTCATTCCAATGTTTTGAATAAAGGAGTGACATGATTAATTCTATTGTGGTAGCCAAAAATTTACTTGGGTTTTTTCATAAGATGTTACAGAAAAATCTGAAGAAACTTTTTGGCACAAACCAATACATCTAAACATACTATTACTACTGTATGGAAAATGGATTGCACAGGGCTTAGGCATGAATAGCAGGAGACATATAATAGACTACTGCAGTAGTCCACACTACATGGAGTGATTGCTTGACTAGATGTTAGCAATGGAGATGGAAAGAAGTGTACAGAGCCAAGAGATATGCCATAACAAAGTCTGTGGGTTTAATGAAGGATTGGTTAGGGGGAATGAATAAGATGAGCTCGTAAATGATGACTCCAAATGTCTCGTTGGAACAACAGATGGATTCACTGAGCTAGAGGGCTGTGGAGGAGAAACAACTGAGAGGTGGAAGTAAGTTTCTTGAAACTAGTTTGGAGCATGTCTAATTCAAGATGATTTAAGATTTAAGTGAAACTGTCAAGCAGGTAGCCTGAAACACAAAAGGAAAGTTTTGGTTGAAGATATAAATTTGATGGTTAGGCAAAGCAGTTTGGTGACTTCAAGGAAAGGAGACTGGAGGCAGAGACATATTAGTTCATTAACTCAATGTTTAAGAAAAAAATCAAAGTTTAAGGTCCTAAGGATACAGCAATGGATGAAACAAATGTTCTTTTCCTCATGGGATGTGTATCTAATAAATGACATTCCATTTATTGCTTTTAGATATCAAGTCAAAGTGTAAGGAGGTGGTAAGGGAAGGGACCATGTGAAGGAGGAAGGCTTAAAGAGTAGGGTTGACAAGTGAAATGATGCAGAGCCAGTATTGTAATAAGAGTATGAATAAAGACAAAGATTGAAAAGATGTGGAGCAAGACCAGATGGTAGGACTGCAGAGGTAGCTTATAAGAGAGTAAAGAACAATTGGCATGTAATAGATGAAAAATGGAAAAGAAATGGGAAATCCTAGATGCTAGTAGAACAGAAGTATCTAACGAAAAAGCCTAATAATTGGTTATACCAGAGGAAGACAAGGGATAGGGGAAAAACCTTAATGGAATAAGGTACCAAAAAGGTGATACATTTAGTATTAGAAGCAAGGGAGGGACTTGCCTGGTGGTCCCGTGGTTAAGATTCCAGGCTTCCAATGTAGGGGGCGCAGATTTGATCCCTAGCCAGGGAACTAAGATCCTGCATACTGGGCAATGTGCCCAAAAATATTTTTTTAAAAAAGGAAGGGAGAAAAGATACTGAGTGCTTACTAAACACCAGCCATTATATTAACATTTTCTTCATGCTTCTTTTATTTAATCTACACTAACATAGTGAGTTTTTGCTTCCACTTTACAATGGAATGAACTGGGATACAGAGGAGTTAATAATTACTCAAGATCATGGTAAGAAGACGGGCTTCCCTGGTGGTTCACTCAGTAAAGAGTATGTCTGCAAGGCAGGAGACCAGGGTCCCATCACTGGTTGGGTCAATCCCTGGAGAAGGGGATGGCGGCCCCCTCCGGTGCTCTTGCCTGGGGAATCCCATGGACAGAGGGGCCTGGCGGGCCACAGTCCCTGGGGTCACACAGAGTTGGACCCAACTGAGCAACTAACGCACACTAGATGGTAGAAAAGAAGCAGGAAAGGGATTCAGTGCACAAATGACAGAGTTGTTCTGATATGTGATGGTTTATCACTTCTACTTGATAGCAAGGCAGAAGGTAAGACTTTTGGGGAGTTGAGATGTGGGAAGCAGGTTATCTTAACACGTTGAGAAAGGTCCTACCTGATAGTTGCTATATGTTGCATGGAGTAGTTGAGGTTCTTTGTTGAGCATGACGGGGTGATGTAATAAAATTGGTATTTTAAAGTGAGATAAAAGTTTAAACACAAAGCTTTTCTCTGCCTATGTAGGTCTCCTCCCTCGCCTCTAGCATGCATTATGCATCTACACTGAGTATTAACCAGACCTCCCCAAGGGCAGAAATACCTGCTCAACCATAAAGATCAATTTTTCTTCTTCAGACATCAGCCATCCAACTCCTTAGAAGACAGCATTCCTTTCTCAAGCCTGTAAGAGAACATGATAAGCCACTTCTCATCTGGTACATGCAAGTGTCTATGGTGAGCTTTACATGTGATTCCAACTTGTCATTTCCCTTTAAGATGGCTGGTGCAGAGCAGTCTGGGTCAGACAACCTGGGGAGATACTGAACTGCATCTAATGCAAGTTTTAACTTGAATACTTTCTTATGACCTTATTAATGTGACAAGGTATATTACTGGTATTTGGCCTATTTTACAAGATTATTATTTCTTGCATTACCAAATGTGTTTCTAAGCCTCTATCAAAAAGAACTAGATGAACTGAGACCATTGACCACATATACAGTTCAATGAGATCAATGATTATAACCCTGGAAGTCTAGATTTGGGAAGAAGCAACAAGAGGAAATCATTAACTAGATTATAACTGACTAATAAGACAGGTGGGACAGGGGTTTTTGGCTGCTATTTACTAAGCCTACTTCAGTAATACTACATGAGGTGACCTACCAATGAAATCCTCAGCCAAACTGGGAATGAGTATTTCTAGCACTGTGAGACAACTTGGTCACAGAATACCTCTCAAACCTGAGTTGACATTAAAGCCAAAAGGGAAGGGATTGTAAAAGAATGTTGCCCATCATCCAGTTCTACAAGAATCAAATCATTACCCACTGCTGTCACTGACCTACAGTACAACCTGAAAGGAACTCAGGGTGAAGATCAGGATAAGGCACTTTGTACTTGGAAAACTGGCAGAACTGGCCTTCAGATAGTTAGATATTTTCAGGAGAAAATTTTGTGAATCTGGTTTCTTGCATCTCCCTACACTTGGAAAAACACTAAAACCATTCACTAGGATACCATATCTGTTCGTTGCAAATAGCAATAGCCTTCCATCAATATGTGTGCTTGATTGCAGGGACCCTCTTTCTAAAATCACATTATATACTGGCTTCCCACTTTGTGTGTGACAGTCACATCTGACTCTTTGCAATTGCATGGACTGTAGTCCACCAGGCTCCTCTGTTCATGTAATTCTCCAGACAAGAATACTGGTTACCACTTCCTTCTCCAGGGGATCTTCCTGATCCAGGGATTGAACCTGGGTCTCCCATATTGGCAGGCAAATTCTTTACTGTCTGAGTCACCAGGAATCCCCCTTTATATCTGCAGAACAGGCTTCAGAGTTTCCTGAAAAACTGTCTCCCAAGTTGGCTCAAGTAAATTTTTCCATTTCTCTCTTAGATTTACTATTGATTAACCTTTTTATTGATTAATTGATTAATTTTATCATTGATGGGGGAAGGTGGAAAAGATAGAGAGGGAAAGGGATTGAAAAGTTGTAGTAAGAAATGTGTGAAGGACAGTAAAATAAATACATGTGCACTCCAAATTCCCATTTACATTAAGCCTTTTCTCCAAATTATGGCTCATCTTTCTTTTTTCCTTCAACATCAAACTTCTGGAAAGAATAGACCATGCTTTCTCATTCCATTTCCATTTTCTCATTCCTTCTTTTTCCATTTCTTCTTCAAATTGCTACACTTGAATGTCTTCCCTAATATTTCACCAAACCTTCCCTGCTGGGTCACCACTGACATCTTTATCCAATAATATAATGGACTCATTTCAATTTTTACATTACATGACATTGTCCTCATATTTGAAACTGTTAGTGACTCTGTCCTTCAAGTTCCTCCTCCACTTTTGTTTCCAAGACTGTGCTCTTCTCTATCTTTCTTGCATCTTTAACTATTGATTCTTACTTCTCTTTAGTTACTTGCTTCTTAACTATTGCTAAGTGACAGTGTTCTGCTGAGACCTCTCTCTTCCCTTCCATCTCCTGGACCCAACCCTACCCTTCTCCCCTTCCTCCCCCTCTCCTCTATTCTATTTCTTCCCAAATAAATTAATTCCATCAACTACCTAGACCTCAAAATACCTGCAACATTTATAATGGCTATAATAAAATAAGTGCTTACTATGAGCTAGGCACTGTAATATACAGGAACTAGATACACAGCTGTATATATCTGATCCTCAGCAAAACGTTTAGACAGAAGTTTTGATTTCCCATTTTTCATATGAAGAAACTGTGGCACAAAGATTCTTGGTACTCAGTTAATAAGTGACAGTAAAATTACCAATTTGAATCCATGTTTTCCTGAAGTGAAAATATGTGCTTTTGTTAACCACTGACCCATAGATACACTCAAAATTCCTAAATGTTTGGTTCAAGGTTAGAACATTCTACTAAACTCTAGATCCACATAGTCACTCATTCATTTGCTCACGTATTCTTTCTTCGATTCAAGATATATTTATCAATTATATTTATCAAGCAATTATTATGTGTCTGGCAAGCGTGTCACACATTGGGTGTGCAACAAGGATAAAAAAGATAGGACCTTTGTTTGTGAAACTTACAGGGATGGTTGGTAATTGTGGTACACTGAATAATGCCTCCTTCCAAAGATGTCTGCGCACTCACCCCTGAAACCTATAACAATGTTATAAGGAACTTTGCAGACGTAGTTACGGTTACTGATCTTGACATGGAGACAGTACCCTAGACTATATGGGTAAAAACATCTAATCACATGAAACTTTTAAAAGCTAGCACTAAGCCGACTGCGCTGGGGCCCACAGTGGCTGCTCCAGAGGCGGTAGGGTGGCAGGATGAGTGCAGACTCGGACCTGGTGGTCCTCGTCTCCGCGGCGCGCACCATCATGGGCTCCTTCAATGGTGCCTTATCCACCATTCCTGTCCGTGACCTGGGCTCAACTGTCATCAGAGAGGTCCTGAAAAGGGCCGCTGTGGCTCCCGAAGAAGCCTTGGAGGTCACATTTGGACACGTTTTGGCAGTAGGCTGGGGCAGAACCCTGTTCGACAGGCCAGTGTGGGTGCAGGAATCCCCCACTCTGTTCCAGCGTGGAGCTGCCGAATTATCGGCAGGTCAGGCCTGCAGGCCGTGTGCCTCGCAGCCCAGTCGGTAAGGATAGGAGACTCCAGCATTGTTGTTGCAGGAGGCATGGAAAATATGAGCAAGACTCCTGATTTGGTTCACTTGAGGACGGGAACCAAGATTGGGGAAAACCACTGACTGACCATATCCTCTGTGACGGGCTCACTGATGCATTCCACAACTATCATATGGGCACAAGAGCCGAAAATGTGGCCGAACGATGGCAAGTGAGTAGAGACCAGGCCAAGGGTGCAGTGCTATCCCAACACAGGATGGAGAATGCACAGAAGGCCGGTCGTTTGGACAAAGAGATCGTGCCAGTTTTTGTATCTTCTAAAAAAGGTCTTACTGAAGTTAAAACAGATGAGTTTTCTCACCATGGGAGCAACATAGAAGCCGTGTCCAAGCTAAAGCCTTGCTTCCTTATGGATGGAATGGGAACAGTCACACCAGTTAATGCTTCAGGAATGAATGATGGTGCTGCAGCAGTGGTTCTTATGAAGAAGTCTGAAGCTGGCAACTGTGGGCTCACACCCTTAGCACAGATAGTTTCCTGGGCACAAGCAGGTGTGGAGCCTTTATGGGAATAGGACCAATTCCAGCAATAAAGCAAGCTGTTGCAAAAGCTGGGTGGTCACAGGAGGATGTTGATGTATTCGAAATCAGTGTAGCCTTTGCAGCCCTCTCTGTTGCAGTAGCTAAAGAACTTGGTTTAAACCCAGAGAAGGTCAACACTGAAGGAGGAGCCATAGCCCTGGGCCATCCACTTGGAGCGTCTGACTGTCGTATTCTTGTCATCCTGTTGCACGCACTGGAGCATAAGGGTGGACATCGTGGTGTTGCTGCCCTAAGCATTGGGGATGGGATGTGAATAGCAATATGTGTTCAGTGAGGGTGAAACTGCCCAACAGCTATTTAGGCAGAGTTAAACTAAACCATGATTGCATTTCTAAACTAATAGTACCAAGTCATGTGAAACCAGAGGACCAAAGTGAGGGTGGAAACTATCTCCCACTTCACATGAAATGCAAGGCTCAACAGCCTGTTGCACTTTAATGTGTAATATTTGAGGTACAAGCAAGCTGCATCTAACATTGTTATAAATAAAACAGATCAGTCATCAAGGAAAAAATAAATAAACAAAAGTCAGAGACCCTTTCTTGGTTAAAGTTGGAGGGAGATAAGGAGCTGAAGAAAATGAAGGAGAAATGAAGCATGAAAAGGACTTTGATCCACAGCTACTGGCTTTAAAGAAATGGGGAATATGAGTCAAGGAATGCAGTAGAATTTAGGTGCTGAGAATAAGCCAACAGTCATCAAAGAAATGAGGACTTCAGTCTTATAGCTGCATGGAACTCAATTCATCCAACATGAGACTAAATGACCAGTGAAGCCTAAAACATTTGCCCTTCATAGAAAAAAAGTCTGCTTCTAAGCAGATTCTGTCATATAGACCCTCTCAAGTTTTTATAAAGGATCACAGTCCTGTAGGCACCTTGATTTTAGCCTTGTGACATTCTCTAAGCAGAGACCCAGCCAAGCCCATCTGACTAATGACTTATGGAAACAGATGAAAATATGTATTGCTTTCAAAGTCATTACATTTATGATACTTTATCATGTCATTGATAGAAATCAATATAGTAATAAACATGAAAACTCACAAATAAATTCATAATTAACTATGTTGGTAACTACTTAGTTGAAAAGAACAGAAAAGTATGAAAGAGAATAATAGAGTCCCTTAAAGATATTCTGATGAGAAAGACAGGAGGAAGACAGAAGGGTGAACTTTCTTTACGTTTTGTTTGTATTCACTGCTTCTTATCTCTTTGATGCCAGTATTCACTTTGACAAATACTCACAGAAGCACTTATGAAGTACTGCAGGGATGATATAGACAAGGTTAGGAGATGCCTCATCTTACAGAACCCGTAGTCCAGAACACAATGTCCAAACAAACACAGTTTGTGAACTAAATCTGGCCTGCCACTTGTTTTTGCATGGATGATGAGTGAAGAAGCATTTTTACATTTTTAAATGGTTAAGAATAAAATCAAAAGAAGATTAATACTGTGTGACATGTGAAATTATATGAAATTCAGATTTCAATGTCAATAAAGAGAGTTTTATTAGAACACATCCAGGTTCCTTCATTTGTATATTGTCTATGGTTGCTTTTACAGTAAAATGGCAGAGTTGAGCATCTGTGAAAGAGACTAAATGGCCAGTGAAGCCTAAAACATTTGCCCTTCATAGAAAAATATGCTAACTCCTTAATGTGTTAGTTGCTCAGTCATGTCTGCCTCCTGTGAACCTCACGGATTATACCCCGCCAGGCTCTTCTCTCTATGGAATTCTCGAGGCAAGAACACAGGAGTGGGATGCCATTCCCTTCTCCAGAGAATCTTCCCAACCCAGGGATTGAACCTGAGTCTCCTGCTTTGCTGGCAGATTCTTCACTGAGTCACCGGGGAAGCCCAGAATATTGGTAAATCGAGCATTTAAGTGATCACTGAGACAAAGTACAATTGGAAAAGCACCATTTAGCAGGGTCTTCAACTGCCAAGATTTGATGCCTGATGATCTGAGATGGAGCCGATGTAATAATTATAGAAAAAAGTGCGCAATAAATGTAATGTGCTTGAATCACCCCTAAACCACCCCCCCTACCCAGCTTGTGGAAAAATTGTCTTCCACAAAACCAGACCCTAGTGCCAAAAAAGTTGGGAGCCACTAATTTAGGTAGAGTGTATTTGCTCATGGAGATCAGCAAAGAATACACAAAACAGTTAGCATTTTAGATTATCTTTGAAGAAAACGGGAGCTAAGACTGAGCTACTCAGAAAGTAGGAAGAGGTTCACTGATAGGCCAGGTGCCAAAAGGACTTTGCTGCATTTGTTCTTCATTGGTGTTTTAAAAACTGAAGTTGCTTATTAAAAAACTGGAGAAGATAATTTCTTTCTTACTTTTCTTGACTCCTTAAAGGCCCAAGAACAAAAACTTTGATAATAATTTTATGATTTCAATTTCTTGCGTGAAATAAAATTCTGCTGCTGATGAATCTCATGTTGTCTAGAGCTGTTAAGTTGTTCTATACTTCCAGTGGCCCTGTTTTTGTCTGTCTTCTTTCTGTTTTATAAATATTTAATTCATTTAAATTATTAAAATTAATTATCACCTCATTTTGCTAAACACATTTAGCTGTTCCCCACCCCCTCCCTTTATTGAAATGATTGTCACAACTTGACACAACCTCTCCCTCAACATGTTTGCCCCAGCAAGACTTATGAGAAGCCCAGCTTCTTGGCTTGCAAATGCCTTCTTCAGACTCTAAGCATTTTTTTCTTTGTGTTAGCTAATATCTTTACTAATGTTTTAGCTGTTCATTGATGTAATTGAATCTCAAATTGTTTTTATTGTGTTCTGTAATACTGTGGGGATATTGTAAATACTGTAATAGTAATTAATATTAATAATCAGTGCTGTTTCACAGGTCAGTTGCTGAATCAAGCTCAGTTATGGGTTCATAAATGTAAAATCATCAAAGATTGCACAGTGGGAGATTCTGGTTTCCTTTCTCCACCCCTGGTTGAGCAAGTGAACTCATCCTTACATTGTTCCTTGCTAATTGTGAAACAGATGCTTTGGATTTTTTAGATCTCAGTTACATCTAAAGAAAGTGGCTTTCTTGATAAGACCCTCTAAAATCAGAGAGTTGTGGAATTATCTAGTAATATATGTCTTACTAATTCAACTTGTCATGGCAACATGCAATTAAAACTTTCCTTTGGGACTAAAATGAAGAATCCCATTTGCTTCTAAAGAACTTTAGCCAATACATAATGAGGAGAATAATTCAAGTAAATGGGACTGAATTTCATAGAGAAAAGGAAAATAAAAGCAAACTTTTTAAAAGAAGTAAATTATTATTACATTTGGTAATTTTACATTTTTCATCTCATTTATTAAGTCCTCTTATTATTTTTCCCAATTGAAGCAGTGCCATTATTTTTTATTTGCTAGAGAAAGGGGCATTAAATTTCTTTTATGAAACAACCACTCCAAATTATCTTTCTTTTGCAGAATAAGCGTTTGTTGTTGTTGTGGGTCAGTAGCTTAGTTGTTCTGACTTTGTGCGACCCCATGGACTGCAGCACACCAGGCTTTCCTGTCCTTCATTATCTCCTGGAACTTGCTCATCTCATGTCCATTGAGTCGACGATGCCATCCAACAGTCTCATCCTCTGTCATCCCTTTCTCCTCCTGCCTTCTATAAAAATAAGCATAACTGTTACCAAATATTACTTTTTTTAAAGGGAATATATGATACCACTGATACTGCATTTCACTAATCTAGTGGAAGCATTTTGAACAAAGTTAGCTAAAGAACAGTATTATTTTTATATATTTATATCTATATTAATCTCCACGTTGACATTTTTATGTCCTTTGTTATCTGATTATCTTATATATACTTTTAAAATCTTGTAGTAAGACAAATCATGTTTATATGCTATGGTTTGAATCATTGAATTATAGCTCATGTAAACAATTTCTTTGCTGTGTTTACTGTTAATAACTAAATTGTCTATAGAATATTTACTGAATTTCATTGATTCTAAGATGCCCATTTCTTTTTTTTTCACATTTAATATCTCTGAAGTAAGGATGACCTATCATAATTAAATTGCTAGCATTACTTATTTCTAGGTATTTCAATATATAATGTAACAACATACCTTTCACAGTTAATAGTGACAGATCCAATGAAATGCTGAGTATTGAGACTGCTTCTCAAAGTATGCCATAGCTTGTCAGAGACCACCTGTTCTACAGTAATAATTTTTTTCCTCTTTCAAGATTTTAGCTATACATAAAGCTCCAAATCCTAAACTTTACTATACTACCTTAACTGTTACCGTTCAATTTGCTGGGGCTACCTTAACAAAATACTACAAAGTGAGTGGCTTAAGCAACAGAAATGTATTTTCTTAGAGTTCTAAAGGCTAGAGGTCAAAGATGAAGGTGTCAGCGGGGGCCATGCTCCTACTGAAGTTGTTAGGAAAGATCTGTCTCAGGCATCTCTCCTAGCATCTGATAGTTCCTTGGTTCATGAAGCTTAGCTTGTCTTCACACGGTGTCCTCCCTGTGTTCAAGCCTGGCTCTGTGCATTGCATGGTTTTTATAAAGACACTTATCATGAGACTTCTCTGGTGGTCTAGTGGTTAAGAATTTGCCTTGGAATGCAAGGGGTGTGAGTTTGATCCCTGGCTACAAAACTAGGATCCCACATGCCACAGGGCAATTAAGCCCCATGCACCAAACCAAAGATCTTGCACGCCACAACTGAGACTGAATGCTGACAAATAAATACATTTAAAAAAGAAGATAAATTAATAAATAAGAAAAAAGAGAGACACCAATCATATTGGATCAGGGGTCCACCCTACTCCAGTGTGACGTCCTCTTTACTAATTATATCTTCAATAGCTCTAGTTTTATTTCATTTTTTACCCATAAACACAGATATGTGCTTTATCATCTAAAACCAAATATTCCAAAGTGCCATTAATGCACACAGACAGCTGCTCAGATAGAAATCAAGTCTATTACTAACAGAATTCATACTGCAATTTTCAAATAATACTTATACATTATGTTTCATTCTTGTTACAAAACTCTAAAATTAGCATTTGTTGTTCATTTGCTAAATCGTGTCCAACTCTTTGCAACCCTATGGGCTGCAGCATGCCAGGTTTCCTGGAGTCTGCTCAAATTCATGTCCATTAAGTAGGTGATGAATAGTGAAGTGAAACTCGCTCAGTCATGTCCGACTCTGCAACCCAGGGACTGTCTAGTCCATGGAA